ATACAAATATATGACTCATTGATATCTATTAAAAACAATTGCGGGAAAATATTTGTTTTGGAATTATCCTACGTCAGAGAAATTTTGATTCAAAAGATGGAAGAACAAAAGGATGGAGTAAATGACGTCATCTACTCCAACATTTTTTGCCCAAATTATTAAGGATTTGTATCAATATCTTCTTGAAATCTGTTGCTTCATGATTATTACACCCATATGGATAGGTCTATTTGATTTCCAAGTCTTTTCTAATGTTTCGCAATTTTCGTCCAAGTAGCCCTTTAAACCAAACATCTCACTGAATCATCCTCGGGAACCCAGGGGTAATCTTCTGTCGTTCGTTCCTCACTCCCAGAAAAAATACCCCTGGGCACGAAGTCTGTTAGACCTTGCTCTTGATTCGAAATTCAAAATGGCAGCTGGTAAATAAATCAACCAATCAGAACATTCGAGTGAATCATCACTCAACCAATCAGATTTTTACCAGTCGCCATTTTGAATTTCGAATCTAGAACAAGGTCTAACAGACTTCGTRCCCAGGGGTATTTTTTCTGGGAGTGAGGAACGAACGACAGAAGATAACCCCTGGGTTCCCGAGGATGCTCATTGAATGTGAAGTCGTGGGTATCGCATCAATTAATTCATATACCTATATTTGAGCAGTTTTTCCCAGTCCATCCATGATGACATTCACAGTGATACTGGTTCCCGTAACCATGCAGACAAACACCATGCTTTGAGCAAGGATTAGGGGAGCATTGGTTCTTTAACAAAAATAAAATACAATGTCAGTTTTACAGAGTCCCAGCGCCATATTGGCAGCATATAATATTTATACCATAAGGAAGATGGTCGGCGTTAATAAGCTTGCCAAGTCAACTGACCGAACTGCGCAAACAATGATGAGTTATATATATCCAATCGATCAAAAAGTTTCAGTTGTGTAAAAGGATAAATCTAACAGGCGTAAAAAAGTAGGCGAAACAACATACTGACGTTTCGGACGTTAATCGTTCGTCGGAGTAGAGAGATGAAACGTCAGTAAGTTTTCTCACTTTCTTTTTTACGGTGTTAAATTTATATTTTTACACAACTGTTTCTTTAGAAACACCGACTCAGCTCACACTAGTTTACCACCATAGTGGCACCACTTTGCTTATCAAAAATTTGTTTGCTTACGTTTTCAACGCCATTGTATGAGAAGCCAGGTTTATCTTGGAAGTCCTGTGGATACTGGAAACGGTCAGCGGAGTTCAGCTGGCATAATAACTTTGCAGAAGAGAAAGAAGGCCCAATATT